TATGGGAGATGCTATGAGCACATGGGTGGACTTAGGATTAAGCAATCTTTATTTAAACTGGGAGGACTTGGTACCAAGTCTTTGCTAATGCTTCAACAAATCACTCCTAGGTAAATGGCTTTGGAAATTTATGACAAAGCAATGCTATCTATGATGAGGGTGATTAGGACAAAATTTGGGTTCAAAGACTAAAATGCTGAGGGGTCCTTACAGCACTAGTCTTTGGGGTGGATCAATAAGGGAGGATGATTTTGAGGTTTGTATCCAATTCAAGGTAGGTAATAGCAAGAGAGATCAATTTTCAGATGACATGTGGCATGGCTCTTCTCCGCTCCTCAACCAGTCCCTTAGTTGTTTCCGTTGGCTAGAAAAAAATGGCCTCTTGTGGATCATTGCTTCTCAATACCGGGTAGCAAAGTGGTGCTGAAGGTCGAGGTTAAGAGAAACTTCAATAACAAAGATCAGGAGGAGAACGACTAAATTCGATTATTATGCAGAATTAAAATTATATAGTTTACGTAGTCTACAGAGCATGAACCTGTTTAGTATCTATATTCAGAAAATTACTTCTTTGTCAATCCTTCTATCTTCATATCACTCAGCTTCCTACTGGCCCTTCCTTTTCTCTTTTGACAGAGTTCACCTAAAGTAGCTTTTTTTTGCTCAAGAAACTCTCCATGAGAGAATCCTCACTATTGATAATCTCATTAAATGAGGCAGAACAATGGTTTCCTGCGCAAGGATGTTGTGGAGACTCCAGAACATCTTCAGCTAGGAAAGATGTCTCATATCACTTGTCGTCTATGATTTTGAATCTTCTCAAAGTGCATAGAGACATGGCAGGTTGGTGGCAGATAAACTATGAGCATGGCAAGGTGTCCACTGTGATAAGGAGAGGAAAAAGCCAATTTCTTATTCTTTTGATAAAGTCCTTGATGTTCAGTTCCAGACTCTTGTTTTTCTTTAAGGGCCATCCGCTCAATTCTACAGAAGATATAGGGAAAATTTTCTTTTGTCTTTGGTCTGCACCAATTTGGTCCTCTAATGAATTGTTTGATTCCTTTTTTAAAAACGAACAAAAAATGAAGTGCAAATTAAACAATCCTTCACTACCCAAAAGATATGTTTACTAGTAATAATTTCTGACTCTATTACAGAAGGTGTTGCTAAAGTGTATAAGATCTTTCAAGTATCATATGATACTAAAAACATAAATTATGGGCCAAATCTTGCTAAAACAAGTAGCTCATTCCCAACAAAAGAACAAGAGCTCACATAACAAGCTGCTAGATTCACAAATGTAACTGGAAGCGAACAAAAGAATGACTTCAAGAAACTGTCTGACCTCATTATAAGTTGTTCTTCCCTTGCTTTCCACTTTTTCACAAACTGTCACAGATAATTCAAACAGGAAAAAAGTGAAAGATAACTACGTATTTTCACAATTGATACAACTTCTTAAGAAAAAAAAATGTTTCTCGCTATAGAAACAATAATGTTGCTGTAGAAACAATAAAATGAATAGATCAGCAGAGATGAAATAAATACCTTTCATGCTAAATTGGCGGAGCCCTCTGCCACTCTTATCAGCTCCAACGGCTCGTTGGCCCCTCTTTTTCTTCTTATTGCTGTTAATAAACTGACTATCAGCTAAGCTGTGCAAAAGAACTTAAAGCAATAGCTTATACAGAAACAATGAGAACATACCATAATAGTTGACAAACTACCATTTTAGCACAACATAACAGAACCCACGGACAATTACTCAAGAAAATTGAAAATTCAGTGACAAAATGTGAACTTTTCCCAAACACATTCAAACTGAAGAAAAGTTTATCATGTGAGAACACCAAATTAATGAATAGCGAAGATTAAAATCTGATCCTATCTCAACAACTAGATATAAAATAACACTATTCCAGGAATGTTGAACAAATTATCCATTTAAAGATATGTAGCAATTATATGCCAATGAGATATCGACCGTAAAATACTATGAAGAAGGCAGAAACCTATATAAGATTCCACAATTTTCCATCACGAAGTTACGATTGCTCAATTTAGTTCAAAACCCTCATGCACAAAAACCCTATAACCCACAATCCGCCTAGCATTACATTGAATTATGACTCATGATAACTTTAAAGCTAAATTCTCATCAAGAGGACTCACCCGGCTGCGCCTTGAGATCCAGCATCATCCCCATGAATGTCAAGGTGATTTAATCGAAGAAAAGTGCTTTCGCTCGCTGGTGTGGTTATGGCTTGCTCGCTGCGACTAGAAGGCGAGCCGACGCTACCGCTAGTGGACACCGATTGGCCAGAAACTGTAGTGCCCCACGACCTCGTACCACCTCCTCCTCTAGACATGGTTGCTGGGTTTTTCTCCCCATCGTCTTGGCGATTATGGTTAGAGTTAGAACCAGTTACCATGCCTACTGCTACCCGAAATTCGAGCAGAAAGATTCAAAATAACATACGAGAATTGGTGGAAATTGGGGATTTTGAGGGACACCCAGAAGAGAAATGACCTTAAAAGGATGTGGGTGCTTGACATGAAGGGAGATTGTTGTTATCGTTGAGGATGATGATGATGATGAACATCAGTATGAGTTTTTGTTGTGCAGTCCGAGAAGGAGTGCAGTGAAAGTGGATAGAGATTAGCTGGAAATGAAGATATTGATCTGAGAAGAAGACGATTGAGGTTTGTGATGAGATGAAGCCAAGTTTTTGAGGGAAAACAGTTGACCACAAAGATCAAAGGGTTCCAAGACCTCATGGAAAGAGGGAAAATAATCAAATGTGAGGGTTTGGTTTCGCTAACCCATTTGATTTTGGTGGGTTAAACATAATGGGGCCTCTTTGTAATC